GCCCCCCGCCCGGGTGGGGGCCAGCTGCGGGACCCCCCGGGCCCCCACCGGCTCTGGCTCAGGCGGCTGCAGGAGCTGCTGCAGCATCTGGAGCCGGGGCCAGCGCGGCCACAGCCAGTGGCCCCCCCGCAGTACCGCCGACTGCCCCAAGCTCCGCACCAGGTGCTGGGCCAGCGCCGAGGGCTTGCACAGCAGGCGGCAGCGCCCTGAGCTGTCCTCGGCGATGAAGGGGATCCCCTCTTCCTCCTCCTCCTCCTCCCAGTCTCCAGGCACCTCCAGCCTCCCTGCCCAAAGACGCCAGACCAGGAGGCCCAGGCTGGTGAGCACCGCGGCTGCGGCCACCAAACCCTCAGGGGACACCATGGGGGCAGCGGGAGCCCCGGCTGGCGGCCCTGGAGCTCGGCGGGTTTGCGGAGCGATGGTGGGGCCGTGCTGGGAAAGCCCTGCCCCGGGGCTGGGCTGCCGGGGACAGCGTGACCGGCCGCCAGCCGGGGCCAAGGGGACTGGGTGAAACGGGAGGGACACGTGGCCGAGCCCTGCCTGCCGCCGGGGGGGTGAAACCCCTGCAGCCGCGGCCTGGGGGGACGGGACCCCCATCGCCGCAGGAGCCAGGGGCCGGGGGGCCCGTGCAATGCTCACACCTTTATTGATACAAATGTACAAGGACACATCTTACAGTAGGGAGCGCGGCCCCGGCAGGGGGGCAGGACGCCCGGGGAGGGGGGGCCCGCGGGCGCCCCGGTCCAGTGTAATGCTGTGGGTGGCCCTGGAGCTACCGGCCGCCCGGCGAGGGGCTTTGAGGGAGAGGGGGGTACATCGCCGCCACCGCCACGGACAGCTACACAGGCTATGTACAGGATAAGTTAGGCGCGTGCCGCGGGGCGGGCTGCGCAGGGGCGGGCAGGGGTCTGTACAGGGGGACGCAGGCCCCTACCCCGCAGGCTGAGCACCAGCTCCTCAGGGGCGCGGGGAGCGAGAAGGGGCTCAACCCACGCCCCGGCCCCCCACGGGCTAAGGCCACTTGCTCACCCCAGGTGCCAGCTGCTGCCGGAGGGGAGGGAGAGATGGAGAGCAGGGGGCCAGGGGGGTGCGGGGGGACGCGGGCCGGCGCTCACTGCTTCTTCTCGCGGGTGGTGATGGTGACCAGCTGCTTGGCGGCCTTGGCAATGTCGTAGGCCCA